TGTTGTTGGGGGCAATATGCTGACTCTGTAAACCGCTTAGAGAGGGCTGAAAGCCCTGTGAAGCGGTATATAAGTCAAACTGGTATATTCAAGGGAAACCAAACACTTTCCCAAAGGCGCATTCTGGTAAGTGCAAGGATTTGCCAAACTCCTTGTCATCCTCTCATCGTAAGGTATTAGTTAGGAATTAGCGAATGCTGGCTGAGGAATTCTGGGAGTTGAAGTCCGGACATCTTCAAGTGGCCAAGGTTGAGAAACACTGAGCTAAAGGAATGAAGGATGCTGAGACTTAGTGCCTTGGATGACCAGGCAAAGGGGGCTGCCCCCCATCCCAACTCAAGGGGCGGACTGGCTGCCTGGCACTGCCTTCCAGGCTGGGTTGGCAAGTGAGGAGCAGAGGTGACGCTTTGCTTTCTCTCCCTCACTGGTGTCCCTGCTGGCCCTTGGACCCTCTTCTCACCCTGGGCTCTGCTGGGCGATTGGGGGGGGGGGGTGCTGGCCCCACTGAGGGTCCCGTCTTGGTTCCTTAAGAGCCCCCTGCTCTCTTCCCTCCCTTCGATGCTCCAGAAGCCGGACGAGAGTCTCGTTTCCTCCACAGGAGCCGATATTGCCAACATCTGTAACGAGGCGGCTCTCCATGCTGCCAGGGAGGGATACAAGTCCATCGACACCATCAGCTTTGAGAGTGCTGTGGAGAGAGTCATCGCAGGTAAGCTTCTTGCTTTCCCTCCTGGAGCGACCGTGTTCTTCAGCCTAGATTCGGGAGGAGAGCTCGGCTAGGAGAGCCACCCACTGACCAAGCCAAGCACGCTGGGTCTCTGTTCCGGCTCAGTTAGGATCTGGCGGTGTGGAGTGATAACTGTCTCTGATCATGCTGAGCTTGGTGGACATCATATCCTTCCTCTGGCCTTGATGGGAGCTCTCTAAACACAAGTGGACGGAGAGAAGCTCCCAGCTACTGGCCAAGGTTGGGGGCTGGCATTTTTGTTCCAGTAAGGATCTCCTGAAGGAAGCAGGCCCCAGTTTATCCCCTTCTGAGTTGGGGAGCCTTCACAGTGGCCTGTCTAGATGAATCAGGCGTGCTGGAATTTGTAAGAGACAAGGGGAAGAGCGAGGCTGCTGGAGGTCTTCTGGTGGGGAGCCTCACCTGAGCAGCCAGCTCTTGGGGCACAGAAACCGTACGGTTCTAACCAGAGACCTTGTTCTTATGCTTGGGTGTTTCTTGGCTGCAAGGATACCTCGAGGTTCGAGGTTCATTTTATTTATATGCCGCCCTATTCCCTGAGGGGCTCAGGGCGGCTCACAAACCCAAAGGGAGGGGAGAGGTAAACACAA